AAAAATGTTTTGCACGAAATAATTGATTCACCTGTTTGTTCAACGCCTTTCGATAACTCGGAAAGCACGTAAAAAGCCGACACTGTCAACAAGAAAACTAGACAAATTCTTGAAATCATGGCTTGAAGTGAGGAAATTTTGGAACTTGCGGTTTAAACTTTCTCTGAACGTGTGCGTCGCAAAATGACGACTGTTTTGCTTTTCTTTCAAAGAATTACGTCACGATAAAATCGAGTCTGACGCAGTTTTATTTTATTTTTTATTTTCGTTACATATTGGTATCTGTGAGAAACCTGTCGCGATTTTTCGTGGAAAACGGATTTTTTCAAAAAATCCGTTTTCCACGAAAAATCGTGACAATTTTAGAAGAATTTTTAGAAAAATGAAAAAGGCCTGCTTTTATTACTTTTGAGCAAGATTTTTTTTGCGGAGGCTTGACATTTTCCCGCAATAAATATTATAGGATTATTTGACTTTGTCTTTGTACTCAAAATATTTTTGAATTTCGTAAAGGAATCGTTTGTAGTTCAAACTTGTGTTGAATTTTATTTTTCTTGTCTGGAATTAAAATGACTGATAAAAATACAGAATACCAAGAGTTTCTTCTTCGCTGTTCGTCTGGATTTCGGGCTTTTTCTTTTTTCATCGACACAAAGTAATTTATAATAATTTTTGTTTGAAATCATCTAGATTTAGAAGATTATTCAAAAATAACTGCTGATGCGAAAAATGAGAATGAGTATTATCTTCGGTAATTGAATATTCAATTACGATTTTAAAAAGTTCGATGCCAGTTTTTATGCATTTTGCGTCTGGAAGAATCACACGTTCGGCAAACTTTATTTTTCGCAAAATTAGTCTTCGAATGTTATACGATATTCCGAGTTGGAAAAACAACTGAGCGACTACTTTTGAGTTTTATTTGAGTAAACGCAGCACTGACACGCTAAAAAAACACCATCGTCTTGCTCTTTTGTGACTTAAATTGACAATACCGATTCAAACGATTTCATTGAACAAAAAGTGAATACAATTTTCTTCTTGTCAACCCTGTATTTCTGCACTTCGTTCTGAAAAGTTTCTGAGTTGGGCTTAAAGAGGGTCCCTTTTTCTTAGACTTATAGGACAAAAAGTGGCAAAGCCAGCCCCGTCATTTGAGTATCAAACCTGTAAGCTACTTAAATGTTTACTTCAGTTGATTTTCAGAATATTGCAAATTTGCGCCGAATCCGAAAATCCCATTGACTCCGGTACTGTTGCAGTTTCCAGCATTGTGCACGCCAACTAGATATTGTGTCTTGTCGACATACGTAATAACGGGTCCTCCAGCATCCGACTGCAAAATTTGCGAGGAAATTTCGTTATACTGTCGAATGCCTTCAAATCAAGCTTCAAAAGGGAAGAGGAAACAAGTCTGACTCGGGGGAGGTTTCGAGTTTGTGAAGCAAGCAATTTTGTCAGGGGCAAAAGAGAAAATAATGGTTGCAAATTCTAATTGATGATTTCCTGGGTCTTACATTTCTTCTTGAATCAGCTGACTGGATGCTGAAGTTGGAGGCAAGGGTTCATCTGTTTAATTATTCTTTCTCTTGATTTTGAAAAAATCAGTTTACTTTTTATTGTTTTTTGCTTTCCTGTGTTGATGAAGTAATAGCCAAAAGACCTCCAAATATTCAAATTAGGAAGGTTTGAGTTGTGGAGGTTTTTATTTAATTTTTTTCAAGGGAATTGATCTCTTCATTGCCATGTCATGACTTGATTGGTAAACTGTTACGCAGATGTAACCACTTAATTCCTCAGACAATTAAGATTCAGGCGACACCTACTTGAGAGTTGATAAAGTCATCAGTGAAGTCTATGACTTCGGAAGCTAGAGAAAGGAAAACCGAACTTACCTTGCAAGGGAAAGATTCGTTGGTACCGTAACAAATGACAGCTTCGGAATTCCTGACGGGCAATGTACCACACTTTTGAAGAGGAATCTCAACTTCTTGAAGGGTCCTTTCACCTTCGAAACACAGAATGAATATGAAATCGCGATTCTATCATGATCATGCCGAATTCTTTGTTTTAATATGACTTACGCTGTATAGTGAAGGCATTTTCTTCACTTTCTCCCCAACCCGCGATTTTGACCGCCGAATTCTCTGCCAGTGGGGTGCCCAAGTAGAATCCTATTATTTGAACGTATCCAACATTAATCTTAGCTTCCCTGGGTAGTTTGTAAACAGCGATGTCGTTTTGTTGAATTTTCTCGTAGGAAAATGTAGAAATGCTGCTGTTTTTGCTGTCCCATTTCGGATGCAGAATCGCACTTCCATTCATGAGTAATCCTATAACGCAACGACAACAAAGTTATGATTCATTGTCGTTACATTCGCTGTAATAAATATTTTTCGAAGAAAAGAATGGCATTTCCTTCGGTCATGATACAGGAGTGACATCTGTCATGGAATACGTTAACAAGAACAACTGGAAAGTTACTCGACCTTACAGGTGGTGTAGCTGTAGCCTAACGCTAGAACCTGAGTTTGAAACACCTGTTTTTTCTTTTTCTACATAGATGTCGATGCTGCGTAATTACCTCGGCGTTTAAACATACAATACCGTAATTCCATAAATGTCCTTATTAAATACTGCTTGTGATATTTGAAAGGAAAAGTTAACCTGGAAATCTTTGCTCGTTCGCCTCAACTTTATCCGTATCCAGGTCCCCGAGGATGATCGTGAATGGCGCATACGGACTCGACACATTTTGGTCCACACAATGAGCTGCTGTCAAAACGAGCCTGAGAAAAATACACATTAGCACGTTTTTCTCCTGGAATCTCTCGGCGCGAATTTCCTGCAAATTTTTCAAATTTACGAAAGGGTAACGAGTGCTCCGCTGCAGAATGAGAAATTCGAGACATCCGGAGAAAATCTGGCCATGTATTGAAGTGTACTTCTGTTGACGAAGAACCCGGAGGGAATAATTTCCTGTTGAATCCCTGACGGATACCCTCCGGCAATAAGTCTCGGTTTCCGGACCAAGCCTTTAAAAAAAGTTTTTCGAAAATACTCTCATACATTTGACGGTAAATTATCAACTTATACTCACCGTCATTGGGCTTCACGTCGCTTATTATTGTGGATGAAACGCATTGCAAAACAATCGCCAGCAGCAAGTAAATCGAGAAAATAGAATTCGTCCGTGACACCAACGTTTTCGTCATATTTCCCTTCAACTTCAAGTTTCAAACTGACGGAAAACCTTCCACGTTTCAAATTGTCAACAGTACTCCATCATGAGGAAATGTTAGAAAAGAAAGAAACAAGTGAATTTCGACGCCATGAAATCAGCANGTGAAATCAAAGGAAAAAAGAACAAGATCTACTGCGCATGTCATTTGATGTACGTCACAGTGCTTTGAGAGTACTGTACAGTACTTTTATTCTTTAAAACTCTGGTTTTCGAAATTTCATTCCAAGAATTTCACTAAATTAAACTCGCAATCGGAATATATATGTAATATTTACAATGTAACATATTTACATTTACATAATTTTCAGGAGAATAAACTTCAACATTTTCATAAGCAATTTACAAAATTTTAAATCGTCGAGAACTATGTGCTTGATTATTTACATAACTTTTTACAAAATTTACAGGGAAAAATTTGCAATTTTTTTCTGTTGAATATTTCTAAAGGTTTTTTCCATCAAACATTGATCTGTGTTGTGTTGAAATGTGCCAAAATATGATTGTAAAAATGACAAAAAAACTGCATATAGCTGAATTCTTTACTTCACTTTCAGTTTTTTTCTCAATACAGTATCTGTATCCCATTGATTTTCTGATAGATTTACTTTAGTATAAGTCATAGTTTTGAGAAGGGATATATGCTGTAAAAATTCACAATGCTTCATTTTTGGACTTAATAAAATCACATACAAAATCATCAGCCTCGGTGAAATAATGTAAAAAATCGAGTAAAGAAAGCTTCATGTGCTGGTCTGAATTTTAACAGAAAGTTCCGGTTCTTGTGATAGGAGGAAAAGCTGCAGTAAGTTGACCTTCTTATTAGCAGATGAAAGTGCAATAAAACCTAGCATAGATTCCACAAAAATAAAACTGATGCTAAAGCACTTAACCTCACAAAATTCTCATCCGCTTTGCGATTAATGGAGCCGTCGACCTCGCAAAGTCTCATGCTGGAGCATGCGAGATGTTGAAAATGTCCATCGCGACAAGGTATATATTCAACCTAATTTTTGGCAAAAATTTTTCTCTGATTTGCAAGAGAAGGGTTTTTTACTGGAAAAATTGGCCATGATTTTTAAGTGCATATATGTATGTAACAGGTTGTTGATTTAGGAGAAGACATAAATGTGCCTGAGGACTTTTCAGAGAGAGAGTTGAAGACAGGGTTATGGTGGCGTCACCTGGTGGCCGGTGCAATCGCCGGTGCTGTTTCAAGGACGTCCACCGCGCCGCTGGACAGGGTCAAAATTTTTTTCCAGGTTTTCACAGAGCATTTTAAACTTCAGATTTGTGCATTTTTCCACAGTTGAATCTCAATAACTCAAACCTCCCTATGCCTATAATACATCTCTACATTAAATTTTTGAAGTCCCTGCCTGGCTTCTTTTGGGAACAATACATAACAAATCTTCCTGAGTCAAAGGCTTTCCCCTGATACCTCCATAACTCAAATTTTCTGGAAATTTTTTGTATTTTATTTTATTCTCACAGGAAAGAGAAAAGGAACTTGATGAAAATGTAACTTGATGAATTTTGAAAGGAAGTGAAAGACTAATTGGGCGAATGAACCTTTGCCTCCAAGTTCAGCATCCTGTCAAGTTCTTAAAAAACTAATTTTTAGCCTAAGTTGTATCACCAATTGCAATTTCCTGTGATTTATATCCCCCCCCCCCCCCAACAAAAATGCTTGTTTCCAACCTGGGAACCTTTTTTAACTTGAAAGGTTTCTTGCTGGTCTCCAGAAGATTAAAATATTGCTTTGATCAGGTGCATGGGATAAAACACTTCGGCAGCCTCAGTGGCTGCTTCCTTCACATGGTGTCCGAGGGTGGGAAACGGAGTCTGTGGCGTGGAAATGGCGTGAACGTCTTGAAAATTGGAGGTCTTAGGCGCGACTTTAAATACCGAATGCTTGTTCGTTTTTCTGTTTAAGCGCCTCTAAGGGTTGACCTTAATGCAGAAACCCTTTCTAAGGACCGTCCTCGAAAACGACCGCGAGACAGTGTATCCGCCATTTATCCTCTTGAAGTATGTCTTTCGAATCTCTGATTCATTGCCCGTGTCGGTCATGTCCGGCGACCGTTGAATTACTGTAGTTCCCCTGAGTCATGAAGGCTGACGAATACTGTATAGCTGCAATTCGACTTATCAAGAGGAGATTGAATATGTTATTGAAAATGTGTATACCTATATACAGTATATATTCCCTACCCAAATACCTTATGTGACGGTTTACTAATCCTATATAGAGACCAAGATAGGGATGTGAATCAAGTGTAATGTGAAATCCGAATGTGCGAGATGTATGAATGCTGCGGTGGGTGACAAACGTTTCTGTCAGAATCCGATTTGTGTTGAAACCATGCTTTCTTTGTTTTGAAAAGGTTCTGAAAACACGACTGGCTTTGGGGACAACCGGTGAGTACCACGGTATTTTCGACGCCATTCGCAAGATACGTCGCGTCGAAGGCATCCGAAGTTTCTACCGGGGCTACTTTCCAAATTTACTCGGAATTCTGCCATACGCAGGCATTGAGCTCGCAGTATACGAGGTGCTATAGTGCTTATCATTCAGATTTTCGAGGATACTTTTTTAATGATTGCCTGGTATGACAGACACTGAAGGCTGAGTTCATTCCGCCGAACAAAACTGAGCCTGGCATTCTGCTTTCGCTATTATGCGCTACCGCAAGCAGTACTTGTGGTCAAGTTTGTGCTTATCCCTTCGCATTGATCCGGACGAAACTCCAGGCTCAAGGTGTGAACTTTTAAAACACGTGTTGCTCTGTGCTTGAAAATCCTACAAGCTTTCTGATAATTTGTATTCATTATACAAGCCGTGCTCTTCCCGAATGGAAAGCTCAGGAAACGACCAACTACGACATTGGCTGTGGTGACGACAATCCTTCAGTATGAGGGTTGGAGAGGGCTGTACAGAGGACTTCTTCCGAATTTCTTGAAAGTCATCCCAGCTGTTTCGATTAGTTATGCTGTCTACGAGAAAACGCGGGCTGCTCTTGGTGTGACAATNAGAAGATTAAAATATTGCTTTGATCAGGTGCATGGGATAAAACACTTCGGCAGCCTCAGTGGCTGCTTCCTTCACATGGTGTCCGAGGGTGGGAAACGGAGTCTGTGGCGTGGAAATGGCGTGAACGTCTTGAAAATTGCTCCAGAATCCGCGCTGAAATTTATGGCTTACGAACAAGCAAAAAGACAAATTCGCGGAGATTCCCAACTGGAATTACGTCTTTGGGAAAGATTCCTGGCAGGAGCTTTTGCTGGCGCTCTGTCACAGTCCGCCATTTATCCTCTTGAAGTATGTCTTTCGAATTCTGTATCTGATTCATTGCCCGTGTCGGTCATGTCCGGCGACCGTTGAATTAGTTCTCCTGAGTCATGAAGGCTGATGAATACTGTATAGCTGCAATTCGACTTATCAAGAGTAATTTGAATATTTTATTTAAAAAATTTTTATACCTATATACAGTATATATTCCCTACCCAAATACAGTATGTGACGGTTTACTAATCCTATATGGAGACCAAGATAGGGATGTGAATCAAATGTAATGCGAAATCCGAATGTGCGAGATGTATGAATGCTGCGGTGGGTGATAAACGTTTTTGTCAGAATCCAACTTGTGTTGAAACCAATCTTTGTTTTTTTTTCCAAGACTTTTGTGCTGACCGAAACCCCTGTTGGCCACTCATGGTGCCATAAAAGCTGCGGTAAGCGTTCTATGCAGCGCAGCTTCCGTAGGCTTCAAAGATGGCCCCGATGAAAGGTTTAAAACTCGGAATTCTGCCATACGCAGGCATTGAGCTCGCAGTATACGAGGTGCTACAGTGCTTATCATTCAGATTTTCGAGGATAATTTTTTAATGATTGCCTGGTATGACAGACACTGAAGGCTGAGTTCATTCCGCCGAACAAAACTGAGCCTGGCATTCTGCTTTCGCTATTATGCGCTACCGCAAGCAGTACTTGTGGTCAAGTTTGTGCTTATCCCTTCGCATTGATCCGGACGAAACTCCAGGCTCAAGGTGTGAACTTTTAAAACACGTGTTGCTCTGTGCTTGAAAATCCTACAAGCTTTCTGATAATTTGTATTCATTATACAAGCCGTGCTCTTCCCGAATGGAAAGCTCAGGAAACGACCAACTACAACATTGGCTGTGGTGAAGACAATCCTCCAGTATGAGGGTTGGAGAGGGCTGTACAGAGGACTTCTTCCGAATTTCTTGAAAGTCATCCCAGCTGTTTCGATTAGTTATGCTGTCTACGAGAAAACGCGGGCTGCTCTTGGTGTGACAATGACTTGATTTGTGACATCAAGCTCTCACATTTAAGAAAAATAACCTTTCGCATTGTGTCCTATCTCATTGCGAAAACACTTCGGATTCGGCGTGAATTTTTCGATGACGGGCCGTAATAAAAAGGCTTTTGAGCGCAGTAATTGCTCGACTAAATATGAATCGAACATGCTGGATCAAATCATTTTATTCTCTGAAAGAGCCAGTTATCAGTTTTTGGTTCAGTCTAGGACATTTCACAATTCAGCAAATCATCATTCGATGAAGAGAATTCCTTCCTCCACCACCACCATCGGAAATGAACCCTGTTGCGAACATTTTTTGCCGGGGAACCTTCATTTCCAGCGCACTGTTCAGTATTCGTGAGTATTGGAACAATATAATTCAGTTTCTTCCCTTCACTAGGTCGTAATTGAAATTGGTCTAATCAAAAGAAAATGCCATCTCTAATCGGAATGAAAGCAGGGGAAAAATATCGCCACCCACCCGACACCGCCCAAGCAAAATTCGCTCAGAATAACTCAACAAGGAATGACTGAATCTGGAACGGCTTGAAATCCACAGCAAAAGATGTAGATGCACCATGAGAATTCAACTTCAGACCTCCAGATTTCAAGGGCTCCTCCAGCCCATTACACGCAGTCACAGCTTTCACAGGGAAATGCAAAGTGACATTCGTAAGTGGAACATGGCTGCCAAATGACTCGTAAAATCTGAGCACAACAGCCCTGTGCGTCTTGAAATTATCTGAAAGCTTCACGGCATCTAAAATGACAGCCCTTTGGTCCACTTCAATCCATGAAGACTCAGCCCCACTGAAAAATTGCAAATCAACTAATTTTATTCAAAATTTAAATTTGACTAAGAATTCCAACACTCACGCAAGCTTTCCCAACCTAGCTGCACCGTGGAGAATCTTCAGCGGCTGGTTGAACTCATGAGCACGCTGTATGACATTCGCCGACTGGAAAGTGCCTGCATGCAACGCAACATTTCAACATAAAAATAATTTGTATTCCATTTACAAATGATTACATACCAGCATGCGGCATCAGAGCATATTTGAAAGCATGAGCACCAATATCAGCATTCGCATCCGGGCTTTTCGGTGCTCGCAAAAGTGACAGTGACAATTTGTTACCATCACTACTCCATCCATATTTGCACTCGCTAAGCAGTGATACTCCAAAACCACACTCGCTCATGTCTGCCCATCTGAAATTGCGCAACAACACACCATCGTAAATAATATTGAAAATTCTTAGACAAAAAAAACCGAGACGTTCTGATAATGTACCTGTGTCCTACAACTTCGTACTTCGCCCAGTCCCAGGACGTATTTGCATGAGTAGGTCTTTCAACGTGTCCATACTGAATCTCGTACGTCGCATTCCGGGCCAGGACATTCAAGGGGAATTCGGCCTATCATTGAAATTAAAAATAGCAACGCGCTCCCATTAATCATTCCAATTAATTTTAAAATTTACACACCTTAAGGATTTTGTGGCTTTCCTTCCAATCAACATTGGTTTCGAATATTAAATACGGCGACTCAGCATCTAAAATAATCCTTTGGGATAATTTGGATCCGTTCCCGAAAGACATTTCCCATTCCACTGCAGATACCAGTGGTCCATTTTGCAAAATTCTCGCCGGCTTCATTTTCACTCCCTCCACATTAGGCTGTAGAAAAAAGGAATGAAGAAATTGAAATAGGCCCCGTAAAGAAATATTTTCGCACTATACGAACAGCGTTCAAGATTTTTCTCGTCTCCAAGTGGTAGTCCATCACGTCCCAGGCATCCCAGAACAGCGGAATGTCGTCGTAAATGCAAATCGAGTTTGCCAATTTGCTCTCTTGGCAAATGGCATCCTTCGAAGACCCGCTCAATTTTGTTGAAGTAATTCTTCCATACGTATCAATCTCCGCTCTCAAGAAAGCATTCGACAGCACGAAGTTTCCGTTTTGCAGCTTTTCTATACGAAGCACACGTAAAATATGAATTCAAGACACTTTTTAAAACTTTCAGGCATGAATTACAAACCAGTTTTCACAGAAATTTCAGGCATGGGTTGCTGCAGAAGCTGCACCACGCTCATTTGCGGTGCTTCGACGACAATAAACGTCCCTTGATCGTCTTGTTGCGCAGACTGTTCATTCACATTCACGTGACGAGTGTTTCCGCCACGAGGGATTTTCACGACATTGCGACGTTTCCACGCCAAGGTATTCAGCAAGAGATTTCCATCTCTGCCAGTACCTGGTGCGTAAAAAAAAGAATATCAATTCGAGGAAAACTTGCGAGTCAAACTTCGATGCATACCGAAAAATCTTTCAGAAATTTCTTGGAAAACCTTGCCAACATTGTTGGAAATTTCTTCGAAGGCTTCTCTGGCGTCCACATTCACCATTTCTATCGAACTGCCAGGTAAAATGTCGTGGAACTGGTTCAGCAGCAGCTTTTTCCACGCTACAGTCACTATTCCTTGCCACCTAAACAAAAATTGCAGGGATATTACGAATTACACGCAGATATTGCCATCTTTGAATATTTTATTTTCGCATAAAAAAATATAATAATTATACAGTAAACAAGAAATTGTGTTCTTCAAATTTTTTACCCAACTGCTAGCTTACTTTTTCAGGAGTTTTTCATCCACGGATTCGTGGACAACGAGCATTGCCAAGAGTAATTCGACATTGCGCAGAAGTTCCTCACAGCGACGATTTTGTTTTTTGATGGTCGCCTACGAGAAGAAAAAAATGTAATACTGTACAGTACTTCAAATTGGTAGAAATTGCGTAATAAGAGAAAAATATTTGCACCTGCGTCGTGTAAGTGCCATTGTGCATTTCAAGGTACAGCTCACCGACCCAACGGCACAAATTCTTCGACTCTTTCGCAAGCTGATCGAAAACTTCACTCGGAACTCCCGGTTTCAGCCTGAAAAATTCAAAATTATGATCAATTTTGTCGAATTGATCATTTTAAATTTGAAAAATAATTACTTGGGATATCCGGGAATGTTTTCCAGTCGTCGACGGCGCTCCAGCATGTCTTGGGTTGCGCCACCGCCTCCATCGCCAAAACCGTACAACATAATAGCCTGGCTTGCTCTTCCTTTGTCAGAGTAGTTCTTCACCAATTCCACCACGTTCGCAACTCTGCATAGAACAAATGTACAACACAATACAGTACCCTGTCTCGAGTCCGCAAATTTACTTCCTATCACACAGGTGTCGCCTCAAATTAACTACATTCTCTTTGGATGAGTTTTTGACTGCGCCATGTTCTGTGGGGTTAGTTTTGGGGAAATGTAATTTAAAGTCAATTCATCCACTCTGCTAGATCAGTAGTTAGCAGATCAACACCAGTCTGGAGAAAAATTTTCCAGCCTACAGGAAATTTTCTTCAGCATATGTACATTTATCAAAGGGGGCAATGAAGTCTGTTATCTTTATGTGAAACCTCAGAAAGACCACGACAGTTGAAATCATCTGGTGATACATAAAATGCGGCCTTTCTCTCAATAAAACTTCAGACGAATTGTTGAGCAGCAGAAATAAATTATTTTAAATTTTCATTCTGAGAAACCTTTTTGAGGACCAGATCTCTAACTTTTTAAGACATTCCACTATAACTGCTGCATCAGCTATTACCTTAATTTTTACAATAAAATTTTTTTTAGAGGGATTTATGGCAGGCATTTTAGAAATTTCTGCTAGTCTGCAAACATATGGAACTTAATCTGCCTGCAAAAAAATACCGATCAATTAGCCAGTCCAAAATTTTTAAAATAAAAATTCACAAGTTTGCAGGCTTAAAAAGGTTGGGGAACACTGCTCTAGATCACATTGATGCTTTTGGTCCGTTGCAAGACTGAGGCAACACCTCCCTTCAGTAACAGGAACTAAAGCTGATTCAACAAAAATCGTGAAGAGCATCCCAAAAATTGTATCAATCTGAAAGGAACTTGCTAAGGACTCACTTGACACGATCCGTGTAGCTGTTGCTGGGAGGAAAATGACTCAATACAGTCGATCCATCCAAACCTTCCCAAACGAACGAATGGTGAGGGAATTTATTCACGACATTCCAAGAAATTTTCTGCGTCAGAAAATTACTGATCCCCACGTGCTGCAATTGAAAATAACGCCATTCAAAAGTGAACGATAATTCGGAAGCACGATTAAATCATCACAGTACCTGGAGTATTTGGGGAATTTGGGCGGAATAACCGAAGGTATCCGGCAGCCAAAACTCCGAGCATTTCTTTCCGAATTCTTCGAGGAAAAACTTCTGGCCCAGCAGGAAATGACGAACATAGGCCTCTCCACTGGCAAAGGTTCAAAATTCATAGATTTTCATGAACGTGGTAATTTTCAAAAATATTTCAATTTTACCTCGGAATATTTCCGTCCATCTCAACCCACGTTCCTCCGACCGGCACGAATCTTCCTTCTTTCACGCGACCCTTGATTTCAGTGAACAACGAAGGATAATAATCCTTGATCCATTCAAATTGCTGGGCCTGAAATTGCAAAAGTCTTGAACAAAATCCTTTCGAGACTCATTCAAAATCACTAGAACACACCTGCGACGCCACAAATATGAATTCTGGATAGAGCTCCATCAGGCGGATTGCATTAGAAAATGATCTCGCACATTTCCTGATGGTTTCCCTCACAGGCCACAGCCAGGCGGAATCAATGTGACAATTCCCCACAGCAACCACAGTAAAATCCAGACTTTTACTTTGTTTGTCTTTAAAGAACTCTTTCGCTACCTTGTGAGCCTCACTAGAAAAACAAAAAAACATGGCACTTGAGGGACAACACGTTAAAAAAAGGTTTTTTAAATATCATTACTCAGTTTTTCCAGCCTGCATCAAATTCAGCATATGATTCCCAGTGAAAAGCGCTTTGTGGGCAGTGAAACCATCGGACGGATCTTCCCTGGCAAGAGACGCGAGAATTTCCAAGTCCATGGCCAGGGAATAGGCACTTTTGTTGAACACAGCTATCTTGCAAATTTCGAGCTTGAATTCCTTCTTCATATCCGGGGGCCCTGCATGCAATAATAATCAGAAAAATATCTCATATCAGCAGAATTTATCGACAAAATCAGACATCGAATCTTCAAGGCCTCCAAAAATTTGCTGTGCATCGAAAAAGTCATCATTATTAAATCTTCAATCCAGCACACAAATCAGTGCAAAAAAATTATCAAGAAGATTTCTCGAAGAAAATGGTTACCAATCGCATTTGCACCAGCTCCGAAGGATCCATTGCAAGCCATTTCGATGAAGTACACACGTCGGGAATCAGTTGGCGCAAAATTTTCTGCGAGGACGTAATACTCTCTCCCGGGTTCATCCACGCAAGAAAATCCCTATTTCACACATAAATTTTTATCAAATTTGCGCTCCATAATTTTGCAGACAATCCGCTTTATATAAAGACCTGAACCACTTTTCCATCTTCGGACCACAAAAGCGCTTCGGTGCTGGAATTCCAAATAAGGTGAACAGTTTCTCCTTTCCAAGATTCCGGAATGTCAATGATAACCTGCAGATTTCCCGCACATCAAATTTTTCAGAACAACAACATTCAAAAATGCCAAAAAAAAAAAAAACTAACCTTGAACCAATGAGTGGCCCACGTTGGCCCGAAGGAATCTCCGATATTAACGGGCTTGAAAGTCTGCACAGATGCGATGCTGAAAGGGTATTTCCGCCAATCCTTCTCCGAATCCTTCCCAGCCCAATGCGAAAGATCTGCCGGAAGTCATTTATGCAGAAAATCTTTCGCATTCCAGACATGGCTACGAAAATACTCACCAGTAACCGCCTTCTCGGCTGAATAACGCTGACCGTGAAGGTTCACGTCAGTAAAGAGCTCAGTGGAAATAAATTTCTCCATTCGCTCCAAAGTCGTCCTCTTATTTTTTCGCAAACTCGCCACGTAATCCATGATGAATAATATATCACGCTTCGTAAACTATTGAAAACAAAAGCTATGAAATCAGCAGGTAAAGAAAATAAAAACACCTCGAACTGAAAAAAAATTCCATTTCCGTGACAACACCGTCACCAAGGCTGTTCTTCTCACAGCCAAATGCTGCGAATTCCACGACGGAAAAACAAAATTGGTAACACCAAAAAAAAAATCGAAAGGAAAAATTGAAAAGAAAATACGCTTCATTTCTCGGAAGATTCAATACTCCATAACACTGGCGGAATTTTTTCTGGTGCACTTGATTTCAGCGCGGAAACGGAGGAGTTTCCTCATCACAAGCAGCCTCTTTTATACCCTTCACCTTAGTACACATGAAACTGCACGATTTTACACATTGCTGAATCACTAAAAAAAAATTTCCGAAGAAATTCAGCAAACTGCGAACATCACAGCGCGGACGAATTCGTTGTAAATGTATAAAACAATTGCATCCTTTTGAACGCCTTCCAAAACATCAACAACAAACAACAAAAATACTAATACACATAGCCACGATTCGATTGCTTTAAAATTTTTTTCACAACTTCTTCAGATCTTGGCACTACCTTTCCAGTCACCAGCACCGACGCTTCTATAGCCTTTGCACTCGAGATTTCTCACGTAGAGACGAACCTTTTCTGGAAACCGTCGGGATTGAACCAACGACACGCCAGGAATTCGGGCCCTTTATTTACTGCTTCGTTCGCGGAGACTCGCCCATTTCTATCAGAATCCGCTGTCTGAACCAGTCTTCTCGCTTCTCGTCTGGCATGTATCGGGTTCCGCATATCCAAGTATGCCTGGAAAAACGGGAAAAACAGGTCTGCACACCATCTGTCGTTTCGATACTCGCATTTCATGCCCTCGTCTCGCATCCATCACTTGAACCGACCCAAGAATCATTCGAATTTGCCCATTGAAGCGAATGGAACAAAAAAATAAAAATAAAATTTCCATACGAAGCACAAGACGAATTTCGAGACATGCCTGTTCATCGTCTGTCACCACCAAAACGCTCGAATTTCCATCCCATCAATCATTCTTAACAATCCAAATCTCTGCCGTTCTTCAAAGATAAAATTCGAGAAAAAAGCGCCTCATGGCAAAGTGATCACCCTCACCGACGGCCGCGAAACTGAATACACATATTCGAGATTAAAAGTAATTCTTACCAAAAGCTCTTGACGATTGACAGTTCCTTTCCCGTCGATGTCAACCACTTTAAATAGCGTCTTCAAATCTTTGTCGAACAAGGACCTGAGCGCAAAGTTATCCATGCTCACATCGTCCAGTTTGAGTTCTGTGAATTCTCCCAAATTCAGAACTCCATCTCCGTTGGTATCTACAATTCGATTCCAATTTCCAATTCCACGAAAAAGATATTTTTATACAATTGTACCACTCTAAATAGAACTTGAAGGAACCAGAAAAAAAACTCGAGTTAGGGAAACAAGCAGGTTTCTTCTGGGAAAGAAAAAAGAATTACAGGAAATTGTAACTGCTGAAATTTGGGACCTTAAATTGGTTTTCAAATGAGTTGACAGGATTCTGAACTTGTACGCAAGGGTTCACTTGTCCAATTAGTCTTTCACTTCCTTTCAAAATACAACCGATTACATTTTTAGAGCTTTCTACTTTCCTGTGTAAATACGAACATATCCAAAAGGCCACCCACCAAAAATTCGAGTTGGAAACATTAAGGGAGAAAAGCCTTCCAGTTAGAGAGGTTTTCAAGGCACTTTAAAGAAGGAAATCCAAAACAGGGACTTGGAAAAGATTTGACATAGGGAGGTTCGAGTCATCAAGGTTCAAATGTAATTCAAAAATCCTAAACGTAGATTCGAAGGAACTGACCAAGAATGTTTGCAACATCTTCCACTATTTTCAGCAAAAATGAGTGAGATTGCTCGGGATGACGGAATGCCAAGAACTCATCAATGTTCAGTCTGTCAGGGTCCCCTCGAACGGATTCAAACCAAGCTGCTTTCAAGCCCATTATTTCCTCTGCAACATGAATTAAACTTCAGTAGATTTCCATCACCATATGTTCTTGAAAGCAAAACGGATTTACCCTTCATGGTTCTATTCAATGCTTTTGCAGCTTCATCAGTTTTCTCCTTGGTGCCATCCAATGAAACACCGAGCTTCATCAAAAAGTCCGTCAGATACTCATTCCACGAGATCACACCTACACGAAAACGAAAAATTTAAAATTTTAAAAATAGACACAACAAAAAAACACTCACCATCGCGAGGAAATTTATCCAGAGCGGAAAACGTCATCATGTTGAGAGAGTTATACGAGCTTCTAGAAACATGGTGGGAGTACTTGTAGTAGCGCAAGTCAAGAAGGTCTAGACGCGGTAGCAGCACCAAGGATAGTCGAGATTTTTGGTGGCATTAAGTAGTCCATCAAAGAATACAAATCAAAAGGAAAATACTCACTCTTTGATAGAGGATTTGATGAAGTTGGAATCGGAATCATCCAAGTGCTGAACAGAAAGCTTCATAACTTCGTCTTCCATCTTCATCAACGAGTAAACGTCCACTTTATCACCGATATGCAGCGATTTTGGCTCGCTGTCTTGGAACACAACATTTATCAGAAGCCACAAGAGCAAAAGTAGAGCAACAGATGCTGCTACTTTTCTGTAGTTTCGCCGCATCCGTAACAGAGTAACAGAACCCGAATACAGTCCAAAATCGGAGAAAATATTAAGACTGTGATTCCGTTTCATGTCGAGCATGTCAAAATAAAACCATAGAAATTACTGAACCTACATAGCGGGAAAATAACCTGCAAGAAATCGACAGCAAATTATTCCCGAAGACATCGCACTAATGAATTTCGCACAAAACACAATCATCATCCACTTCATTCGCCATTTCCATATCATCTTCAGACCACAAACTTCTCATCTTCCAAAACTTCCGCAGATCGCATCCGAACATTGCGACAAAGACAATCAGAATAAAACCTTTTCTCAAAGCTGAGACAAAAAATACGGGTCTTCATAATCTCATTTTTCCCAGAACGCTTGCAATCTAAAAAGAAAAGAGAAAAGAAACAAGAGAGAAAAACCAACCTTAGAGGCGGCAACCGAACTACAAAAACTCAAGATCGTATGCAAAATATCACATTTCCGAAAAAGTCATGTAATCCTATTGAAGCAGTGAATGAAGAAAAACAAAAGCAATCACGACAAACCGAGTTCTTGCGCCGACATTTTCTGAAAAACCGGAGAATTCTGATGAACAAAGAGAGAAGAGAAACTTCTATTTCCAGCCATTTCTTCTTTTTTTTTACATATGATGCACGTGGAACAGCAAGAAACAAAGGAAGACGAGTCGTTGGAAATCAACAAAAGAAATAAAAACGGTGAAGCACCACCACGGCTTGTCTACAAGTTTTTTTGATCTTAAAACTCGTTCGCTGAATCACGCCAACAACGGGACAGTACTGTCGGAGTGTTTGAAAGCCCAAATGACAAAGCAAAACAATTAATTCAGGATGTTTGTCTGTCAATACACCGGGAACCCAGAGTTTTGGTCGAATCGAAACGCGCCATTGCCACTTTCCCCGTCGTCATCCTGGTCCTTCGGGTTCTTATTGTTGCGACCCCAATCACCGCTGTCACCTTTCCATGGACACGCCAGCTGCTTCTCGTATGCTTCTCGCTCATTCTTGACTAGTCGATTGTCCAATTCCACAGTATCCCTAATGAAAAGAGGGAAAAACACACCGAATCAGAAAAACGCCAGCTATTCACGAAATAGGTATACACAGTTGAGTCTCTCTAAATCAAACTTCCCAAGGGTCAAGCAAAAAAAAATCCGATTATGCAAAACAAGCATTTGAGTTGCGTAAAAGAAAGAAGAATTAAAGAAAATTGTAATTAGTGGAATTCTGGGAATTCAATTGCTTCTTAAATGAGTTGACCGGATGCTGAACTTCGATGCAAAGGTTTAACTGCTCCATTAGTCGTTCATTTACTTTCAAAATGCATCATGTTACAGTTTTAATGCTTTTCTCTTTCCTGTGAAAATAAAATAATAGCCAAAAGGCCTTCAGAAAATTCAGATCAAGGAAGTTTGAGGTGGAAAACCTTCGAGCTTTCACTGCATTGTAACTAAGAAAATTCAGACAGGGACCGGAAAAAATCAACGTTCGACTGTAGAAGAAAATGATCTTAAATTTTGGCACATTTTTTGACAATTGAAAACTACGCCCATAATCAAATTCCTTTCACGAAGGAACAAGACACAATCTTACCGGAGATCCGGCGGCACCACTTGATCCCAGGATTCCACAACACTAGATCCCGTCACTCCGTGGTCAAGAAGCGCCACCCGCTGGTACAGCAACAAATACGCCGTATCCTGCTTGTGCTTCTGCGTCAAATCCCGGAAGCTTTCATAATCCGTTTGCATGACGCGACTGTCATTCAGCAAATACCAGGGCTCGTCATCCCCACTTCCTCCGAGCGTTTCCCCGAGCTTCCGTTGATGCCTAGCATAGCAGTAGTAGTGGCCCGAGTCGGAATTCGTGCCCGAATGGATGACGGCGGCGTACAAACGGTACAACACCTGCTTCCGTCCCCCACAGGCATCGTCTTCCGACGCCTCGAGCATTTCCAGGGGTATATTCAATCGATCGGGACAGTAGACGTCACGCGAGATCTTGAGCTTCCGTTGCAGCTCTTTGTTGTAGGCGAATCGCTTGATGACGAGCATCAGGTGCCACGGGGCACGAGTGATTCGCGCACTCCGTTCGGCGTCCCGCAGTTGTCGACAAGTATCGCAAAAGTAGCGGTTTTCGCCGTCGAGCCTTTCCGGCGCCAGAGTCGACAGGAGAAGGTCGGTTAAATTCAAGCGATTCGTCTTGGCGACGGTTTTGTTGTCGGCGTCGCCGCCTCGATCTTCCTCCATCTTAGTTTCCTCTCCGTCATCATCACAGGGCACACCGAGGTCTCGAAACTGTTCCACTACTTTCGACTCGGCACCACACGTCAGGCATCGGGTAACATGCTCCATCACCCCGCCGAAAATGTAGTCCACCAAAGACATTCGTGACACTTCGCACGTTTTCCGATCCGCTTCAGTTTTCCGCAAAGGTGACGGATCACTGGTCTCCGGCTCTGTTTTCTTGCGCTTCGGTCGAGATTGGCGAAGATCCGAGGGATTCTGGTTTGAAGAATCCAACGTGTCTGCCAGCAAAAAGGACATGATCATCTCTTCCTTCACATCCGGGCCAGTTCCGTCTTGCTGCTGCTCTTCGTCGTCCACTGGTGCAATCGACGTGCCGGGATTGTCATCGTCACCCACAGAATGAATGCCTGAATCATGAGAACCAGAAGCAAAGCCTGCTGTTGCAGCAGAACTCGACGCAACCATTATATCTGTATCGGCAATCATGACAGTTGCCTTGCATAGGCTCTCTGGTCTGCACATGATTTGTTGGTTGTTGAGGTTCTCTTCGGTTCGCCAACGGGTTAGACCGACACCATCTCCTTTGTCTTCGTCGTCGACGTCGTCATCCATCGCCACTACACCTTCTTCCTCGTTTTCGTCCAAATCGGCGTCCACTTGGATGGGCTCCGTTTCGTCCGATACTCCTGCAAAGATGAGCAAAAAACCAGGTTTGTGTTTGACGTGGCAATTGACAAGTTCAAAATGATAATTTTTCTTGAAACATCGTTCCATTTAGCAAAAAGAAAGGCTTCGATTATTTGAAAGACCATTATTCCATCAGTTTCGTGTTTCGCTCTTTGGATTGACTGCGAAGAACGTAATTATCTGATCAATTTCTGGACTATGACCATATGAGTCATCAAAAAAACTTGCAGATACAGTAAAATATCGTTGCAACAAAATTTTTGGGACTTCAGAAAAGTTTGTTCGACTGAATTATTTGTTCTTCAATTTAAAAATTGATGAATGGAAAAATGATTAACATCAGACCTGCGCATTTTCAATCAGATCATGCTTTTCTGGCATTCTCAAAATTTGTATTTTTTGTTTGAAAAACTAAGTGATCTTCTGAAGATAAAATTCTATCACGCATCCAATCAGTCGCACAAATCTCTTCTTTACGGGAAAATGATGTTTGCAACCATTCGGAAGAATGTATGTCTTTGATTACCACTTCCATCCATGCTAAAAGAATCAGTCACATTTTGGATTGGAAATTTCAGTCTGTGCCTTTCCTGAGACAGGAAATTTCTACCCAAAGAATCTAATTAAAATTTCTTCAAAGATTTCGTCATAACGAAATAGTTCGAACATGAAATCAAGGGGTTTCCCACCAAGACTAGAAAAAAAGTTTGTTAAAAACTTAAAATGAAAAATTTGTTGTACACTAATGGTACAGTATTCGTATAAGATTTTACCTTACTTATTTGAAGTACTGTACTGACAATTATGAAACATTCGAAGCACTGTGATGTTGAAACTCTTGAAAGGAGAAGACCCATTTTTCTGAAGTCTTCTCCTCAAGAAAATCTCTCGAAACAAAAAATACTCTGTACTGGAAAATGGCCGAAGACTGAATCACTCACTAGTTCCACTGGTCGGTAGTTCCTTCGCACAGCCGTCAACTTCCACGAATTTCCGCCGATCCTCTTCCTGCTCCTCTCTATGCAGCGTGTCGAACAGGTACTGCAGAAACTCGCTGCAATCCTGCTGCAACCCAGTTTCAAACCACGGTGGGTTGCACACGCGAAGAAACTGACTCGGAGCATACGCTGCCCGATCCGTGCCCACAAGAAAGGCAAACACTACCCGCAACTCGGCCAGTGCCTGGCCAACAGCGGGCCCAGAATCCAAGACTCGTTCCCGGAAGGCGTCTGTCATGTATAAAGCTTGCAAGACGGAGTTCATGTAGCACGTGTTGCCAAGGTTCACGAGACCGACTTTGCCAGTGCTTGATTTGGGTGCTACGTATTGTACCATTCCGGAGCCCATCCTATTTTGAGACGATAATTCTTGCAACGTCAACGGACCAAACACACCTAGTGGCGAACCCGCGGCATCCTGATCATCTCGGTAGCCATTTGCCTGTTCAATGTAAGTTTTAAAAATCAATTCCCAGCAATTCATCGACGACTTTATAATCATCATACCTTGAGACAGTCATAAAGTGACTCGCACACGTCATCGTGTGATCGAAAGCGTTCTGAAAAGTCCTTGATCAAACCCGCCACTTCTGCCATCATCTCTTGTCTGCTTTCTCCCAGGTCAGTGCGGGTATCCTCCACGATGACCTGGATCCTTTGAGAAAACTACACGAAGAAATTGAAGCGTCAAGACAACATAAAATAAAGTCAAATAACAGGATAGCCACCTCGAGAAAAGGACGAAGATCGTGAATCTCGAACGTATAACGGAAAATGTGACGCAGCACGGGCATGGAATGTTTGCGGAAATTCGGCAATTTCAGACACTCGGTGATCTGTTCAAAAATGGGAGGAAATTTTGCTTTTTAAGTAAACATCCGTCCAACGAAAGCGGAATTCGACGTCTGAATCACCTTCGCTGGCCAGATTCTCGCCACATCATCCATGATGGGCTTTCCCAGTGATTTGTCCATCTTTATGAACATAATAACACGCTCAATCCACTGAGCCAGCGTGGAACTCTTCTGCGATTGCAAAAGCCACTCCAACATGTTGTTCAAAGCGGTACGTAACTTGATAAAACCTGTCAATTACGAAAAAGACGCAAACGGATGAGCATTTACATGTTTCTAAAGTTCGAGTAAGAAAGCGAATTCAACTAATTTCAATGATTTTCATAGAAATAAGTTTTTCTGGTAAAATTGGTCCGAAGTTTTCTGTAAGAATCAGGTCATTTAGGCAAACCTAAATTTCTTGAACTTCTTGAAAATGATTTATCCCCATTTAAATTATAAAAAATTGGTGTACTATACATGGAACTCAAGTAAATACGGTAATTCACAATTATCACACTCAACTAAACACAAAAAACTTGAATATTGCGGGAAGTTTCAACAAAATTTGCACCAAAGGAAGGTGGGACAGTGTAAAAAGGGTTTCGCATATCCTGTAATAATATTTACACATTGCTTGAACTAGTCTCACTTTTTATGAATTGTTAGTGTTTATTTTAGTATTAATCTTTACAAGATAAATTTAATTTGTAAATCCGTTTATGGGGAACATCAAGAAATAGGGAAAAATTGAAAAATTAAGTCATAATGTGCAGATTTCAACTGTATCACGAAGCTGATTGGCATTCCAGATGGTGAACTTCCCACTGGAACGGCTAAAGTCCATAAAACGAAACACTACAGTATAATCTTCCATACCTCTACATCGGCCTCCACGCATCACCGATTTCATGGCCTCAATTGCAGAGTTGGGGATCGATCCATACTGCACAAAAAGATCCAACACCAGAGACAAGACACTCGACGGTGGGTCACGACTGGCATCTGCACGGGAATACATTAAATCCATTACAGTAATTACCCCTAAAAAAAAGGTTCAATTTATTCAACTCACCTTCGGTAGTAATGATGTCACACACGGTCCTCAAGCAGTCTGTCTTCAAATAACCCATCTCTGGTTGAGACCACGTGAAGGAAAGCAACTGACGAATCTCCATAGAATGGTTGACAGCAGCCGAGAACTGAGCAATAAACTCCACACTTTTCGGAGCCGGAACTGCACTCAGGAAACGAATTATGAGGGCGCAGAGACGCTCAGCTTCCGTGCCCCGAGGCAAGCATTCCGGGTATTCAAGCAGCATCTCTGAAACCTGTTGCACGAGCGCCAAATCGCCGTTTTTGGCCTCTAAAAAGGTGCACACGTTCTTTCGCACGATGGCGCAGTTATCCACCCATTTCTCTGATCCACCATCCCGGAACATCCTCAGGTAAAAGTGGAGAAACTCCACGTACTCGATCCCGGCGTAAATAACGGAATCTCCTTGGTCTTCTCTCCAAACCCGGCCGCCGAATAAATTGCTAAGCGACGAAGAAGCCGCATCATCCACCAGAACCCGTTCACTAGCTACACAAATTGTCAGGATTTCTTTGCCGATACGACGAAGAACTGGGCGTGGGGACGACAGGAGCCAGTCGATAGCGACCTTGGCAGCGGCTTCGTTCTCGGGGAGGGCGCCGAATCCGCCAGAATATTTCTTCATGAATACATTCCATGTTATCTCCACGGATTCGTCCGACTGCTCCGCAAATTTCGGCAGCACGCCAGCCATGCCAGTCACCATGACTCACAACTCGATCACACAATCAATTCGACATTTTTATCCTCTTTTTTTTAATACACGTGGCTAAACACCAACATTCCCGACGTCCATCTGCAAAAATAAGCGAAGAAAATTTTCAGTTAGGAATACAAACGCAAAGGTTTTCCCAAGAAGAAAAAAAAATATTCACTGCAGGCTGATGAAACCAGTTTCGTTAATTTTTACCTTTTTTTTTTTTACATACATAAGTATAATGCACCATTAAGACATAAAGTTGGAGTATCGAATTATTATATATTATCATTAAAGTGATATTTATCTCCCAATTACTTCCGCAGTCGGATTCAAGACGTTGAATTTCAGAAAATTTTACCTCGATTTTTTGCGGACGTTTCTGCGATGGAAATGTAATTCGCAGGAACGAGAGTCGATGAAAGCGGACAAAACATTTTTCACCTCACCACAATGACAAATCGTAATTAATTCTCAAGACACACACTGCAGAAATATTTCTGCCAGCGTAAGGAGAAGAAGAATGTTTATTAGCTTCAATTTTCAACTCGTCCAAGACGACACAGGGGACTATCGCACACCATCTGTAGATCAACTTTGGGTCCAACCAAATCTCTAATGTTGTCAATATTATAGAGGATCATCGTGGGTCGTTCCAGGCTCAGACCCCATCCGAGGACACGAACCTCAGGATCTAAACCCATTGGACGCAACATTTCGGGACGGAAAACACCGGAATTGCCAATCTCCACCCATTTCCCGAGTCCTGCGTGGTACGAGTACACCTCCATGCTTGGCTCTGTGTACGGATTCGAAGTGGGCTTGAAACGGATCTCCTTCATTCCCAATTTGCCAAAGAACTTGCTGATGATTCCCATTAGCATGGCGAGAGATGCTCCTTTCTCGGCCACGACTCCTTCGATTTGACAAAATTCCGCCAAGTGCGTCGGATCCAGGGTTTCATTTCGGAAAACTTTATCCACGCTGAAATACCTGGTTCATGAAAAAAAAGACAAAAACATGTCAACTGATGATGCAAACTTCCGGGAACACGCCATTGCTTACCTTGCTGGCCGGAAACCATCCTGAGCCAGACGATACAACATCCTGGCGCTAACTGCAGTTGTGTGGGTGCGAAGAACGTTTTTGCGCGATTCCGCTTCGGACCACTCATAGCCATAACCTTGGGAACCATATCCACCAATGCTATGAACCTTCTTCACTTCTTCCATGTATTTTAATGGAGGATCCCGGGCAAACTCAGGATCGGATAGGAAAAACGTGTCCTGCGTTCAGGAGAGACATGGAATGCACTTTATCTGATTCGGTCAAAACTTCCGTCACTTCGCACAAATTTCACTCGAATTTGTCCAGTACTGTTAATTACTGAGCACCAACAGTGCATGAAACAAACGTTTTCCTCATCAAATCAAAATCACTTCACCAACTCGAGCCTCCCTATGCCCGATTCTTTCAAGTCCCTGTCCTATTTCTCTTAAAAACAATGCATTAAAAAATTCCCCCACTCACAGGATTTGCCCTCTCAAACGTTCATACCTCGAATTTTCTGGACGCTTTAAAAATACTATTGTGTTGATAAAGGGAAGAGAAAAGTAATAAAAATTCAACTTGATGTGTTTTTAAAGGTAGTGAAAGACCGATAGGGCAAAGAACCACAAGTTCAGCGTCCCGTTAACTACTTCAAGAAGCAATTCAAGGCCCAAATATCACCAATTACGATCTCCTGTAAATCGTGTTTCTTTCCCCTGAACCCTTTCACTCTACATGAACGAAAATATCATCACTGCTCCCAAAATTTCAATTTGAAATACTATACCATGAAACATTTATCCATCACTTCAGAGTTTATCGAAAGCCTTACCTGAGCATCGCGAGCTGGATGTTGCTGTGGCTGGAAAACAGCATCGAAATTCCAGAAACTGCTCTCCACGTAATTGTTTGTGGGCATTTCCATGAAGCCCATTTCCAAGAAGATTTGCCTCAAATCTGCACGAACTTTCATAAGAGGGTGTAGGTGACCAGGTGTAACAGGAGCACCTTTCGCTTCAAAATTCAGCGGCTTTTCAGAAAAAAAAGGGATGTGCTTAGAATTACCTTCTAAAATGTGCGCGAATCTCGGTACAAACCTTGAAAGATTTGCCAATCCAACTGCCTGATGAGAGCATTTCTGCCGTCAATTCTGTTTCCGGTTTTGTGATATTCAGGGAAAAATTAGGTCCTTGGGAAATTTCGTAGAACTTCAAAACTGTCTCAATCACGAGCTTCCGTTTCTTCAGGTCTGCTTTCTGAGCTTCGGACGCCTGGGATAGGTCTTCCAGTAAATGCTGAACAGTGTCTTCTACATCGGGGATCTTCCTCTTGATGACTCCTCCGCCTGGAATTTAATTATTTATCACTCAAGAGTCGTGCAGAAATATCGCAACTTCATTTCACCAGTCTTATCCATGAGAATCCATCCGGATGAAAGCGCCTTGCTCACACCGATCTTGCCAATATTAGCAGGAACTAGCTTCATCAGTTCAGGCATTGAAATACCTTCTTCAGGAACAGCGCGGAAAACACGGGCTTCATGGCTTCCTTCATCCTTGACCTACAGAGCATACGGCACATCATATAAATAGCTGCTCCTTCTAATCTCCTTCTGTTCAAGAAGATGGAGCTAGACGACGCATGCAATGCTGGAAATCTTCGTTCCAGCCTCACGGTAATTATACATTTGAAAGCGAGCTAATCTCAACGAGTAGACATCACAATCAAAGGGAAGCACAAAACGACGGTAGCCAATCAATCACCTCACCATTTGGCCCTCTGAGGTCAAACTCCAGGTCTTCGACGACGACTGTTCAGCCACTATGAATCCATCGAGAGATTGCAGGCTCTTCACGGCTCCCACGACACGTTGATGATCCACTCCAAGTTTCTCAGCGGCAATCAGAGATGAAACATGGTTTTCCTTCGCGATCAACGACAACAACTCCTGAGGCAAATCGCGCTCACCGGTCGCGGTCATCTTCACGCCACTGGCTCGGTACAAGTACAGATCAATTATAAAACGGTGGCCATAAGAATTCTACACTAGGCATGGCCCACCAGAAAGTGGCACGTGGGATTGCTTGTAATCTCTTTTTGCTTTTCATCACTACACACTGTCTCCCACGAAACTAACGAACGATCGTCACCTGCGACCCAAAATGTTTCACAGAATTGGCTTCGCACAACCCGTCACACTCAACTCTAAGAACATGGAACATCTTTTTCTATTGCGTAGATTTTCGCACATATATACAGTACATAACTTACAAACATTTCCATCAGGGCACTGCTTTCCCCGAGGACCCAATGACACGTCCTTTCATAGCCCCACCGACCCACTTCCATGCCCGGTGCGATTTGATGGTCAAGTGAATTCTGACTGTTCGAGCGCCCCCTATATACTGTTTGGGAATCCCCTTACAGATCCCTGAAATCGGCTACCAAACAGCATGGACTGTTTATAATTACAGTACTGTAACAGGAAACATTTTCTTGTTCTTCTAGATTATCTAGAAAATAATCAAAATCCCCCCGGGACTGGTGAATTATCTCTACTGTATACCAATGTCCCCAACAAGTAAATCATGTCATTTTTGTGTTTGTTTCTTTTAATGATTGGAGACATCTCACACAGAAACTAAATTTTTTTTTTTACAGGCTATACTGTATATTGAATGCAAAATTAATTGGCAGAAGTATATTTGAGCGAGTGGTCAATGATTTTAGCAGATGGCGTTTTGATTGGGTTTTAAATGCTATTGCCATTGGGGAACATATTTTCTTCAAAGCAAAGTGGTGGTTGCCAAAGGTGCTGGCAGCTCATTATTAGACCCTTTCCATAGATTATACGGAGGGTGCTCAATTCATAATTTCCTCGTTAACATTCTATTAAGAAATGTAGCGATAAATTAATCGAGAAATGCACCTTCTGGCAACAAATCGAAATTACTCGAAAGGCTAATTGAATCGATCATACGAATGCACTTGTATGGACTTGATTGATGAAGTAGAACGTCTCTAGCACAGTGCCAAAAAATATGAAGTCTGTAAAAATGGTGGCTGAAAATTTCGTGAAATTTGTTCTGCTCATTTTCGGACTTTTTCCGTTTTCCAACGCTTTTGGAAAAACCCCGGAGTTCCGAATCTGTTCATTTGGAATGATTTTCGCTCTACTAAATATCTGCGGAACTTTTCTGGACATCGCAGCTCTTTGGATTTTAAAAAGAGGCATACAATCATTTTCTGGTCTCTCTCACTTTAAATATTTTAATAAATATATTTTTCAAAGGTGACCTTGAAGTTCAACGTTCGATAAAAATGCATCAAACGAGAGAAATCTGCGTCGGATTGCAACGAATTATCGTTTACTTCGGTTTCTTATTCTGCATTGGCGTGCAATTATCGCAAGGGAAACAATTCGCAGAATTTATAAAATACAAGGATGATCTCGCGAAGGAGGAGAAAAATAAGTCTGTCAAATGGAAAGCCGTTTTTTGTGTCCTTTTTTGCGTTGGACTCGGAGAATTAGCAATTGGACTCGGTCGTGGAAATATCCCAAGCGCTTTTGGCGCTGCAAAGGCATGAGTATTTTTCCGAAATTTGAATCTTTATTCAAATGTGAAATGCGAGTTTTTTAAATGATATTTCAGAGAATTTGGTCCTTTCCAATGTATTATCACAATGTCGTTTTAACAATTTACGCGTGGTCAGTGACAGAGGAATGCAGAAACTGCTTTCAAAACGTCTATGATCAGCTGAAATCCTATTTCATTGACGAAAAACTGGACTCGGGAGAAGAATTTAAATTATTGAATGATTATTTAAACGTTTCCGAATATTGTGAGAGAATTTCTGATGCTTTTGGCGGATTCCTGGCAGCTTTGCATGCGACCATATTTGCTATTTTTGTATGCTGTTCGTATATTGTTATCGAAAACTTTTCAACCATTCAAGACACAAATTCTGCCAACGACGTGATTCTCTATGGTGGCGTTGTTCATAGCCCACTTGTTTCCTTTCATCATCTTCAATAATTCTGCACAAAAAGTGATGGACCTGGTGAGGGACTTTATTTTTACAATATTTTGATTCGATGTTCCTCTGAAATTAAGCAAATCTATATGAAGAACAAGCTTGATTTTCCAGTCAATTTATGTTGAAAACGAGGTTTCTGCGTCAGATGGATTAATTTGTACGAAATATTATTCATGCTAGAAAATTTATATATGTTTCTATATATACGCAGGACGACAAGATAAAATCAGTCATTCTGAGAGGAAAGAGAAATTTGACCGGATTTCAAATGAAAGAGTCCAAATTGGATAGAATTCTACTACAAGAACCCATTCGAATGTCAGCCTTTGGGTTTTTCCATTTGGGCCGACAAATGATGACCCAGGTTTTTAAATAAAATTATTTATTTTTCAATTTTCCGCTGTGAAATTCATGTTATTGTCCTCTTTTTCAGATGCTTGGACTCATTTTGACGTATTTGATCATTTTATTGCAAGCAAATCAGGAGGAAAACATCAACGGATAAAAGGAAGCTATAATTGATTATTCAAGAGTTCAATTATGCATGAATTATTTGTTGTTCAACAACCTGATGATAAATTGGACAACAATATACACAGTGTTAACCTAGAAACATTAACACTTACTGCAAGTTTCTCCCTACAAGCAAAATTTCCTACTTCATTTCATTCCAGGAAAATATGTGATTTTCCCCGTGCAGCTGTTTGTTGTTTTTTACCTCTCATATGGAAACAACATCTGAATTAATGTGTGACACTTTTCTTCTCCAAAGGGCCAAGTACCTATTTTAATTGCTGACAGTGATAGATGTCACTGCAACTTATTTTCTCTGACTCTGCTGGATCCAAGAGGAAATATCTTTTAGATATACTTGAATATAGAAAATGATTGAATGTTTTTCTCTGACATGTTCTCTGATTAAAGAGATTTATTCATGAGATTTAAAACTCATAAATTCCAAAGATTGAAGGAATCTTGGTTGTCCTTGACTCCTTTCAAGTCTATATGTATACCTTGATTTCCTGAGCTAGCCTCAGAATTAATCCAAACCTTGTAGCAGTTATTTCTCAGGAAGCCTTGTAAAAGATTTAGCAGGACTCCCTTTTTCTGAACTCTGTATCTATATTGTTGTGAATAATCTTGAAATATGTGTTCTTTGATTTATATATTCTTGTGTACAATTTTATTGGACAACAACAGCATGTGAATTATTTTTTGTAAATTTGAAACATGCATTACGGTATAGTAATTAATGCTAATGAAATTAATTTTTCTCTTCTGCTCTGGTTAATTGAGAAAATATTTTAAGAAATCCAAAGATGGATAATTAATTTTCTTTTTGGATGTCACGTATTCTGAAAATAATGTTTTCAAAGTCGTGCACAGCCTGATAAATCATTATCACAGTGTTCATTGCTTGCTTGTCTGTCGATTTTCCGTCTCAACATGGATCCGAAGGCTTTTATATAATATTTGCTTTGTCTTTTTCATTGTGTGGCATGTGTTTGTTGCAACATGAAGTCGACATTTCCAGAAAATCTCATGAGAGTTATTCTCTTGTGCTCCGGGCTTTTCCCGTTTTCTGAAATTTTCAGCACATGTCCGAAATATAATTTATTTTCGTTTGGATCTTTCGCAGCCTTACTGAACATTATAAGTAAAATTGGATACATGACGACTCCATTTGTTTTCAGAGACCGTAAGATTAAATTCGAGACAATATTAAGAAATAGTTTTTCAATGTGATTTATAACTCATTAATTTTTTTTTAGAATTTGAAGCATATGAGTCAAATTTTTTGGATGAAGCCCGGCTAGTTTGCATGCTTTTGCAACTCGCCATTGTGTCTCTCGGATATTCTTACTGCGTTGTCGTGCAATTGGCACAAGGGAAAAAGTTTGCACAATTTCTCGAGGACAGAGTGAACTTCTTGAACGCCGTTCCCACGGAAAGAAACAAATTTGTGCAATGGAAAGCTCTTATCGCAATCGCAATTTTCTTAGTATTTGGCGAAGTTTCCATTTTCTTTGGACTAAAAGAAATGTCATCGACGGAATTGGGATTTTAATGGCAAGTGAAAAATTTTTTTTTTTTCATTGATCGATTTCTCCACTGACAAGAAATTCATCTTGTTTTTCACCTGGGAAAACCTTTTGAAATACTGCAATAATATTATTACCTTTAGTTTAAAAAAAATCAAGAGGTCACGAGGTAAAATCCTCCTGTTAATTTTGTGGTAGTTTGATAAAACTTATATTTCAATGCAAAAATCCAAGAAGATGTTTTGGAAAAGCCTAATTTGCATAATTAATCAAGTTCCTTTTTCGAAACTTTTGACTATCCTCACCATTAACTTCACTTGATTAAAGCATTCATTGCCTAAATCCATCAACCAAGACAATATTGCTCAATTCATCAAGAGGGATAATAATTGTCATGGGGAATATGTTTCTAAGTCTATGTAAAATAAACTGAGCTGTTGTACTAAAACGTAGTACTTTTATCTTCCGTCGTCACGCAAAGTCTTCGATTTGTATACTTTAAAGTTGTTTCATAGACGTCGCGGTCGACAGAGCCTCGCATTTTTGTTACCATATCGGTCATCTGCTGAATTATTTCAAATGTTGCCAATAATGAGCCCTTTCAAGGCCTTGGATACTGTTGAGAAATGTTTCCAAGCAATAATTTTAGCAGATGGCGTTTAGATTGGGTTTTAAATGCTATTGCCATTATGGAACATTTTTTCTTCAACGCCAATCGGTGGTTGCCAAACGTGTTGGCAGCTCAATGCATTATTAAGCCCTTCAACCCATAAATTATAGGAAAGGCGCTTAATTCATATTTTCCTCGTTAACAGTCCATCTATTAAGATGGCGGAGCGATAAATTAATCGATAAATGCACCTTCTGGCAACAAAGCGAAATTACTCGAAAGTATAATTGAATCGTTCATTCG